AAATTAATCGGAGTTATTGTAATATATGGACATCCGAAAAATAGTCCGAACACAATTGCGTATGCTATTTGCCCACTTAAACTCGCTGTATAGAATGGAATCAGCACAGATATTGCCGCAATAATTGTCAAACTTCCTACATATAGAGATATTTCGTTGACTTGTCTAAAATTTGCTATGAAACCTGTCACAATACGGCCAAATATTGACGATAACCCACAAATGGATAAAATATACGACGCCTGCATTTCGCTCGATCCTTGTCGTATGCAATAAACAGGTAAATATACAAAAATGATGTACATCCCGAAACCATATGCAAACATACTAAGCGTATAACACAGAACACTTTTCGTTGTTAAGATTTTTAAATACGTAGATAGAATCCCGCCTTTTTCACCCCTTTTATTTGTTTCTGCTTTGCGCACGTGGCGTGAGTGAATTTCTAGACTAGATGGACGCGCTATCATTCCGCAGACGATAAACTGAGCGGAAACACATGCAAGTGCAACAAAAAATCCAAAACTGCCATAATTGTTCCCAGTCCATGATATGATTGGTGGAACGCCAAACATTCCTGCCCCTATACCGGAAAACGAAAGTCCCTGGGCGATATTTCTGTATTTTTTGAAATGGAAATTAGGTGCAATCATACTTGCTGTCCATCCGCTAGCTCCGCCAAGACCTTAAATATATGTAAAATATTGAATAACTGATTTGTGGATGAAATCATGTTGCAAATTATGCGTTAGGTTGTTTATAAGGCATCCCCTAGTTTCTGTTTCAAAATGTGTTATATATATTATATTATTATTAAACAGCTTGAAAGAAATCTGACTTTAAACATGTAGGAAAGAATCTATCTATCAAAGTGTACTTGGAACTTTACCAAACTTTCCATATTCCTTGGATACGAGTCCACCAGACTTTGATCTATTTCCTAAGTTGAAAGAACCACTGCGAGACGTACGTTTTGCGGTTTAAGACAACCTGGAAGCAGCCATTCATATCAATGAATAAACTTTTGTTGCCTTGCAAATGGGAGCAGACGACTTCCACATAGGTGGATGTCCGTCATTGAAAAAAAGGGATCCTATATTACCCTAAAGAAAACGTAATGATAATTTGTAAGGTGTTGTAAATACATATCGGAAATATGAATTTTCTCACTTATTGTTGGATGATCGTTGCATTCATTAACGAAAATGTCTGTTGGCATAATATGCCGTCTGCTTTTACTACTTTGATGCAGACACAACTTACGGCGAAGTTCCTACATGTACATTTTTCATTTAATATGGATATATACATATTGTATGCAGCGAATAAACTCAAACATAAATTACCGAATCAATCTCACCTGCAATAACTCCAAAGGTCAAGACAGACAGACTAATGTTTGGTGCAAACGCTGTGGACAGAAACCCGATTGTATAAAGCAGGCCACCTGTCATCATTGCGGTTCGAACACTAAAATGGTCGATAAGTGCGCTGGAGAGTGGAGCTGTAATAAACAAAGTTCCATTAGCCAATCATATGAGCCGCGTCATGACAAAACCAACATAATGGGTTTGCGACCATCATGGATCCAGATCAGCCTGCGCATCCGTGCAGTCTGATCAGGATCCATGCTGTTCGATTTCAGTTTCTCTACTTGTTATACAGTTTGTAACAGCATGGATGCACAGGCTGGTCTGGATCCATGCTGGTCGCAAACGCATTATGTTGGTTTTGTCATGGCGCGGATTATATCATGATATATAAAATGATTTTCGATCATAACATTTGCTCATTACATATAATACATAGCATAACATCAAACAATTGATAAGTAATGTATTTCTGTGACAATTTCGATATCAATGTATGTTAATTAACTTACCTGCAAATTCGATATTATGTATGTAGATAAACCTACCTGCTAAATTCAATATCGATATATGTAGATAAAAATACTTGCTAATTTTGATATCGATATATGTAGATAAACATACCTGCAAAATTTGATATCGATGTATATAGATAAACATACCTGCTAAATTTGATATCGATGTATGTAGATAAACCTACCTGCTAAAATTGATATCGATGTATGTAGATAAACCTACCTGCTAAATTTGATATTGATGGAAATAGATAAACATACCTGCTAAATTTGATATTTATGTATGTAGATAAACCTACCTGCTAAATTTGATATCGATGTATGTAGATAAACCTACCTGCTAAATTTGATATTGTTGTATGTAGATAAACCTACCTGCTAAATTTGATATTGATGTATGTAGATTAACCTACCTGCTTAATTTGATATTGATGTATGTAGACTAACCTACCTGCAAATTTGATATCGATGTATATAGATAAACATACCTGCTAAATTTGATATCGATGTATGTAGATAAACCTACCTGCTAAAATTGATATCGATGTATGTAGATAAACCTACCTGCTAAATTTGATATTGATGGAAATAGATAAACATACCTGCTAAATTTGATATTGATGTATGTAGATAAACCTACCTGCTAAATTTGATATCGATGTATGTAGATAAACCTACCTGCTAAATTTGATATTGTTGTATGTAGATAAACCTACCTGCTAAATTTGATATCGATGTATGTAGATAAACCTACCTGCTAAATTTGATATTGTTGTATGTAGATAAACCTACCTGCTAAATTTGATATCGATGTATGTAGATAAACATACGACCCTGCTCAATTTTGTATTGATGTATGTAGATAAATCTACCTGCCAAATTTGATATTGATGTATGTTGATAAACCTACCTGCTTTATTTGATATCGATGTATGTAGATAAACCTACCTGCTAAATTTGATATTGATGTATGTAGATAAAAATACTTGCTAATTTTGATATCGATATATGTAGATAAACATACGAGCCTGCTAAATTTGATATTGATGTATGTAGATTAACAAACGAAAACCTGCTTAATATGATATTGATGTATGTAGATTAACCTACCTTCTTACTTTGATATTGATGTATGTAGATTAACCTACCTGCTAAAATTTTGATATCGATGTATATAGATAAACATAGACCTTGCTAAATTTGATATTGATGTATGTAGATAAACATACGACCCTGCTCAATTTAATATTGATGTATTTAGCAAAAACCTAACCTGTTTAATTTGATATCGATGTATGTAGATAAACCTACCTGCTTAAATTTGATATCGATGTATATAGATAAACATACGACCCTGCTGAACTTGATATTGATGTATATAGATAAACCTACCTGCACAATTTGATATTGATGTATGTAGATTAACATACGCTAAATTTGATATTGATGTATGTAGAGAAACAAACGAACCTGCTAAATTTGATATCGATGTATGGACAGCTCCTACCCATGCAGTTGTAGTCTGAGTTTCGTTATATTTCTCGAGTAAAATGTTGTGTACCAGTCCCACTGTGTAATTCGTGCCACCGATAACAGACAATGCCACAAAAATAGCAACCATTACAATCCAAGACCATGTCGAGTCGAGATCGGGAAATTCCGCCATTTTTCGGCTGCTGTTACGTTACCAGTCTGCTGTAACTAAATTTAATAAGGTATTGTTTTTAACGTTTTCTTTATTAAATGACGTCATTACCACGTAAAGTTTGCCACTCTTATAAATTTTATTTGTAATCTGTAATTGAATTATGTTGATATAAATTTATGTATTAACAAGTAACCAAACCGGAGTATAAAGTTTCTATATTACTAGTGATAAATACGTAACGGGTTAAATCAATACGTATAAGGTACCTCATACCATGGTGGCATATTATCTTTAATTCATGAAGTTGAAATCGTGAATTCGTGAATTCTGTATATCTTATTCGTGAGTTCATGCATTTGAATTTGTAAAATCGTGAAGATGAACTCCAGAATTCAAGAAGTTGAAATGTCATTGCCGGTCTTTCGTTTAATTGCGGGTCATTTTACTTTGTAAGATATTTTTGTTTTGTTTTGTGTTTGCTTGCTTGCTTGCTTGCTGTTGTTGCTTTTATTGTTGTTTAATTATTTTTCAATGATTAAAGGCCAAGCTGCACACCATGCATAAGACTTATTTGTAAGTTTAAAAATGTTCATCTCGTCATGTTTATGAAGAAGACAAGCAAATAAACATAATCATTTTTCAATGGGGTTGGTTCAATTTAACGCCACGCAGCAAACAGTTTAAGCAGCAGTTACCTCCCTTGATCATAAAAGATAAATTATACATGTACGGACTTGTATTTGTTTGATTGACTCAACCATATTGATTTTTTCTTGCCTGACGTGTTAATTAATTAAGGATAACGTAAATGATGCGTGGCACAGTTTTATATAGAAGTAAAATGTTGCTTCTGACTTAAGATGGGTGGCGATGCGGGCGTAACGAATATTATACTTGTTCGCGTATACATTAATTATTCTTCACAAACATTTAGTATCGAACCGAAGGTTATTGGTTTTTCATAAATTAAGCTTTGGATTGTATTTGAATATCATCGCGTAATAGCACTCAACCATCAAAATTCCACGCGAAAAATGACCAAATCCCAATTCTAAATGTTTTCCTAATTAAATTTGTACACCCCACCCATCCACTTGCTGTGGTAAGCGTATAATTACTTATTGATCAATATAACTATTAATCTACCTATTGATTTTTTTCGTATTGATTGTGCGTATCTATAAATCACAATATGACCAGACTATTGTCGAATATTCACACTTAATAATACGTCACCAAAATATACGTACAACAAATAAATTAAAAATGTACTTCATTATATAATAAATTATATAAAATGATTTTTATGATTTACACTGCACAGACCAATGTACAGGCATATTTACATCCTTGGATACTACATCATATTATAAAAGATTGAATGTTTGACTGTTATCCTAATAACATCTTAAGTGTTACCTGCTACACGCATTAATATACTTACATATTTAAATCACTATAGCACAATAAACATGAGTTTTTAGAATAAACTGTATCCTCTTTTTTTATTTTTTTAGGTTATGATTCCTCGATGATGTTCTTTTAAAGATACATGTTTATACTCACAACATTAAATATAGTAGCATACTTTTCCCCCATGTTTTCAAGCATGAAACATATCTTTACATACACCGTGAAAAACACAGACATATAATCGTTTTTGCCGCGTGCGATGAAGGCATTAAACAGCCATTCAACCAAGTGGTGATAAAAAATGATTACTAAAGCATTATTCAAAGAGCCGAAAAGAATCCGCCCGGTGCGTTTCGAGGACTATATTACCGCGTAATGGCACTCAAACCAGGTAATAACGTGAATCAAGGTTCCCCGTGATTCTTTTGCAAAGTAGCTTATTGTTTATATACAAGTATACTTGTACTTTGTCCTTGAAATGCCATTAATACTTATATATGCGTTTGGCAAAACTTGCATAAAATCTAGAAGCATATTCGACTAAAAACAAGCATAATATAGATTAATTATTTTCTGGCATTGTATTTTAGGGCATTAACTTTAAGGGCATGAAATATAGAGAGCATTAAATCTATGGTCATTAGATGTAAGGTTAAGATATCTAATGACATGAAATCTAGAGGAGCATGATTAATGAGAAAGTATTTTTAAGCATAAAATAGGAGCATAAAATCGAGGAACATAAATTAAGTCTAGAACAGCATATCTAGAAGTATAAATTCTATGAACGTTAATTACACCAAGAACTGGAGCATATAGAGGTGTAATATCTCAGAGCATAAAATCTAGGAGCATAAATTCTACGGAAATTACACCAAGGAGCAGAAAAAAATCATCAAATCGAGGAGCAGAAAATATAGGAGCATCAATAATTCTTAGAGCATTATACGAAGGAACAGGCAATCTAGAGGCATTATATCTAGGAGCTTAAGTTCTAGATGCATTTAAAATTTAGATGTATAAAGTCTAGAATAAATTATGGAAGTATTAAATCCAGGGGCATTTAATCTAAGAACAAAAGCCAGAATAATGAATTCTTAGGGTAATTAATTAAGCAGCATATAATATTGTGATATAAAATCCTGAAGGTATAGATATTTGGGGAATAAAAATAGAGGCATTGGATAAAGGGGCATTGAACTCTTGGGACATTAAACCTAGAGACATAAATGATATAACTCTTTCAAAAACACATAAAATGAAACATGATGCATAAAATAAAAAGCTATGTATATTCGCACACAACGGGCAAACCGAGCTATTGACGGCCTAATAAAACCGTAAAAACAATATGTTTTATATATGTTGTCCCAGTAGTGTTATTTACATATTAATTTAATGAACTTGTTTATCTCGAGTAAAAATCAAGTAAACTTGTTTTTATAAAATGTGTATAAACTTCAATGGTCTCAAGTGTAACGCTTACAACACATACATTGATTTACAGAAATTTAATTATATGGTAAAATATTTGTGCTGCAGCAGAATTGTGCGGCAGGAAAATTAATATAATTGCAATAGTACACGCGATATAAATTTTTTAAACATCTTACCATATTTATCAACAATATCAAAATCAAACAATGTATATATATACATCATCGACATGTTTTCATTTGTCTTAAGCTGTTTGGACACGCAGCTAACCAACTACAGGATCGTATAACAATTTCGTTCTTCACAGTGTACAAGCAATATGCCTCCAACTTTCTCACCTTTTTTCCGTCTGTGTTTTTTAAAAATATATTTAAAAAGTAAACTATTGTGAAGAGAGCAAAGAAAATAATTTACACATTGTAAACGGCACTTACATTCCACGTAATTAACCACAGAGAAATCAAAAAAATACAAAAATAGCTCTTACAGCGTTAGTCACGCAGTAGAAATATGGTGATGAATACTACAAAATCATTAATCGTGAATACAATACTATAACATGAATCTTGAATCTTTTTGCTATTCTTAAAATCTTAATACATTTTTCTTAAGTTTGATTTTCTTGAGATATTTTGGCTCATCTGGAGGCATGCAGCTTTAAACAATCATTTAAGAGAACACGCGTAATATAATAAATCCTCATATCCAAAACATCATGTTGAAAGAAGTTAATTACACCAACGTTTTATTTCTACGATTCACATTTGTTGGAAACATATAATAACGAGTTCTTTATTATGTTTAATGTTTTGTGTAATAATAACTAACTAACCGGAGATAACCGGTTATATCTGTTCGATTTTTTTTTTTGCGCACTTGTGATGGAAAATAATAACGTAATATTTTTTGTATATCGAATCGGAACACTTCGGCAATTAGCATAATAATCTCATACAATCAGAACACCTCGGCATTTATTCCTTATCCGAATATCGACGGAAAGGGTCCGGAGGATGCGTGCATCCTATCGTTCGCCGAAGTTTGACGGAAAGAGCCGAAATATTATTACAAAACATCTCGTCTGCTTTGATTATGACAGTTATTTACAAAGGAAAATTATAATTTATGGTCTTATATGTGACCATTTGAGAAATCAGCCAGCCCGACATGCTTTTAAGGAAACGTTAATTAAATTCATTAAGCGCAACTTTATATACGTAATTAACAAAAACGTATCGTTATGAACAGAAAAAATACATGTATATACCAATGTCTATTTTATTCATTATACACGGAGAAAGGTAGTCTAGTACTGGTGTAACTCTCCAAGAACGATGGTTAGGAAACTACCCGCCTTTATGACTGAAATACTGTTGGAAAAACGCGTAAAATGAAACAAAAAGCAAACAACCCCTTACTACACTAAATATCCTAAATGGACGCTTTATTTCTTAAAAAAGACTGTTCATCATTATTCAATCCGGACTAAAGCATTCGTTTTTTAGGGAAAAATTCAAAATGAGTACGAGCATTTTCTGAATTGCTTACAACGCAGACCATGATCAGACATTTAGGGTTTTTTGTGTTTTTTTTTAAATGTTATTTTTTTTTTTTGGGGGGGGGGGGGTTGTTGTTGTTGTTTCTGTTTTTTGTATTTTTTTTTTTTTTTTTTTTTTTTTTTGTTATCATTAAATTCACAGGCTAGTACCCAATATTTAAAAACTAAATTTCGTTTCATCAAAATTCAAACGTCCACCATAATCAGTTTATAATAGTCGTTGAATTACATGAATTTATCCATGAATTTAGAACGATATCAATAGGTCTGCGGCTCAATATAAGACGCCAGATCATGCCACTCTGTAATCCAGTTTCTGTAATAAAGAACATGTTATATTGATAACTTCGAATAATTTGAGCCCACGTCACGACAAAACCAACATAATTGGTTTGCGACAAAACCAACATAATGGATTTGCGACCAGCATAGATCCAGACCAGCCTGCGCATCCGCGCAGGCTGATCAGGATCCATGCTGTTCGCATACAAACCTTATAAAAAGTAAAGAAAACTGATAGCGAACAGCATGGATCCTGATCAGACTGCGCGGATGCGCAGGCTGGTCTGGATCCATGCTGGTTGCAAACCCATTATGTTGGTTTTTTCGTGACGCGGCTCATTTATTTCAACAATCAACATTTACATCACAATATTTCTCTTCAAACTATCATCAGATGATACATGAAGAAACTCATTTTGAAATAAATTTTAATTGGAAAAGATCTTTATTGCAAATCTTCATTGCAAATGGGGCCTTTCAAAAGAAGTGTCATCTAATAAATTCACAGTCCGATAATTTTCGAAATAACTGAACATTAAATTTTTCTTTATTAACATAATTTAGCATAAGTTAACATGGTGTAACAAATTCATAAATAAACTACTAAAAATATACTTTTATAAAAAAATCACAACAGTAAACACAAGTTGTACTATACTTCTTGTGTATTATAGGCCTTATTTTCAATGTACTTCATTGCACAGCTAGTTATAAAATTTAGAATAGGCATTTCCTCTAGTCTACAATGGGCTGTATTTTCAGTGCACTATTGGGGTATTTCCAGCTGCTATTTATAAAATTACAAAAGGCATTAATTACCTCGGGTCTACAAAAGGTTGTATTTTCAGTGCACTATTGGGGAATTTCCAGCTATTTATAAAATTACAAAAGGCATTTATTACCTCTAGTCTACAATGGGCTATATTTTCAGTGCACTATTGGGGAATTTCCAGCTATTTATAAAATTACAAAAGGCATTTATTACCTCTAGTCTACAATGGGCTGTATTTTCAGTGCACTATTGGGGTATTTCCAGCTATTTATAAAATTACAAAAGGCTTTTATTACCTCTAGTCTACAATAGGTTGTATTTTCAGTGCACTATTGGGGTATTTCCAGCTATTTATAAAATTACAAAAGGCATAAATTACCTCTAGTCTACCATGGGCTGTATTTTCAGTGCACTATTGGGGTATTTCCAGCTTATTATAGAAGCACAAAAGGCATCAATTACCTCTTGTCTACAATGGGTTTTATTTTCAGTGCACTATTAGAGTTATTTCCAGCTATTATTGGCGGTTTTACAGCTATTTTTAAAAGTACAAAAGGCATTAATTTCATATAGTGTACAACGGGGTGTATTTTCAGTGCACTTTTGGGGTATTTCCAGCTATTTATAAAAGTACAAAAGACATTGTGCAAGGGGCTGTATTTTCTGTGCATTATTGGCGTTTTTACAGCTATTTATAAAAGTACAAAATACATTAATTACATCTAGTGTACAATGGGATGTATTTTCATTGCAATTTTGGCATTATTGTCATTGTACTGTGGTCGTTATTTCCAGTGTTTCAATTGTGCTATGATTGTGGTTTTCTCTTGTGATACTACTCTATCATTATTCAATAGTTTTTGTAAAAACAAATCGTTATTTAAAATATAAGAGAAATGCTTTAAATGTTAGGAACAATTATTCTCTTTTTTAGATATTTAGTCTTCAAGCCACTGGTTTCAATCTCTATCTGTTTTATATGTATATTAACGATTTTCTACGCAGTATGATATGTTTTCAACATGACGATTGAATCACAAGTCCCCCAATCGTATCTTCTCCGCCCTTTCCGTCAAACTTCGGCTCACATTTTCTCGGCCATTTTCGTCGAACTTCGGATATAATTGATAATAGCCGAGATTTACCGATTGAAGGTATTATGAATAATAGTCGAGGTATTCCGGTTGCCGTCCCTCAACTGCATTCGCAACTTTTCTGATTATAATGAATATTCAATTGCCTCTAGAGTAATAATGTGTAATAGATAGTAATAATGATAGTAATAAAATGAATACACTTTCCGGGAGCTAAATTTAAACTTCCTTTTATCATAATTGCTACATGGTATGTGCTCTTAAGTGGCGGGAGATTGATGCAATCTTGACATTATGTTAAATACA